GGGTTTAGGGTTTAGGGAATAGGGAATAGGGTATAGGGTTTAGGGTTTAGGGTTTAGCATTCGCTCAGTCCTTCGTGGGCACGAGTGCGGTCGAGCTGACGGCTTCGGAAGACCTGGCGCTGGTCTCGTTGGAGCTGGCAGCGGCTGGACATCACCGAATCAGCTCGAACACGGGCTTAGGGTTTAGGGGTTTAGGGGTTTAGGGTTTAGGGCTTCAGGGGTCTAGGGTTTAGGGGTTTAGGGGTTTAGGGTTTAGGGTTGGCAGGAGGCGGGATTCATGGATGCAGCATTGGCGCAGCATTGGGTCTGAGTCCCTAACTTATATATGGGGGGTCGATTATTTCCCAAGTCTAAATGAGGACCTAAGGTTCATGAACGAACTATGAAGCCACGGTTTAGGGTTTAGGGTCAGTCGCACAGAATGGCACCCCATCGCAGCAGAGCGCACGACATGTGAAACCCAACCCTAGGTTTGATATAGGCGCCTGCATAGTTACCTATAGTATTTTTTTTTGGGGGGGGAGGGGTTTAGGGTTTAGGGTTTAGGGTTTAGGGCATAGTTACCTATAGTATTTTGGGGGTACCTTATTATAATATGTAGTAGAATATGCCCCAAAACCCTATTCTACTTATTAAGGCCCCTACACTATCCCCCGACCCTGTGTGTGCCTGCCTTGGGTAACTCAAAATCCCTAAACCCTAAACCCTGATGACAAAACCGTTCCTTGCGGTTCAAGCGTTGCAAAGTTGCGACATACAGCGACCTATGAGGTTTCAATGGGTTATAATAATAAAAACATAGGAGCCTGAAGCATGAGGAATACCATTCCGCAGGGAAAACAAGTATAGTGTTGCATATCCCAAGACCCTGTTTTGATTGCTAAAGCCCTTGGAGTACCAAAGAGCTTTAACTCTAACCCTAAGACCCTAAGCCCCGAAGAAGCTAAAACCCTAGAAACCCCAAACCCCAAGAACCTAAACCCCAACCTCAACCCCTCAGACCCTAAACCCTCTTGTTTAAAGCCTCCTCAGACTGTAGCCGTAAATTCTGTCTTATACCTTAAATAATCACTAGGGACCACTAGGGCTCTTTTATGTAGGATTCTATACGACTCTATATCAACACCCTCCAACTACGAACCCTCGCAACACCCTTAAAGGGAACCCTATTATTAATACAAACCTTATGCATCCCTTAAGGGCTCTATTAAAGGGCACTTGGGGCCCTAAACCCTGAACCCTAAACCCTAGACCGTGCCTGACCCAGGTCAAGAAGCTCCTGGTCGCTGACCTCAGCAAGCGCTATGGCAATCTGAAGGACTTCGGGTAATCTGAGACAATTCTGGGGTTTAGGATTCAGGCTGTAGGGTTTAGGGGTTTAGGGTTAGAACTCAGGATTTGGGGTTTAGGAGTCAGGATTTAGGATTCGGGGTTTAGGGTTTAGGGTTTGGGGGTTTAGGGTTTAGGGTTAGAACTCAGGACTTGGAGTTTAGGGGTAGGACCTGGAGCTTTGGGCTTAGGGGTTTTTAGGGAGAATGGGCGATGAAGAGTGAATTCCGGTAGGCCCCCCTATCGATAACGTGCCCCAAAGCCTTGGTTGGATTTAAGGCTTTCGGTTTAAGGGCTTAATTAAGGTTTAGGGTAAACCATGGAGGTTTAGGGTTTAGGAGTTTAAGGGCTTAGGGCTTTCGGGTTTAAGGGGCTTAGGGCTTCTAGGGTAAAACCGTAGGGAGCCTTATTCTAACATTGTTACGGCACCGAGTTTGCGTGCAGACGAGGAGTCTCTCGTCGCGGCTCTGAAAGCCGACCCCAAGCCCCAAAAAAATTAAGACAACCTCCGCAAACCCGAGAACCCTAAGGCAAGAAACGAGTCAGAATATAGGGCCTTAATGATTACCTATACTATTGGTGGGGCTTCCTCAGTTATAGTCCGCATTCACCCCAAAGCCCTATTCTAATTTTTAAGGCCCCTATATTAAGCTCAAGTGCCGTAGGCTATGGGAATGAGGGTAGATTGATCAAAGGTCATGCAGGATCTTGTCCATCAGCCGCAGGGCCCAGGGTCTGCTAGTGCTTTGCTGAGTGTTGATGTGCAGGGCTCCCTGGGGAAATTGGTGGGTGTCATATCCTTCAACTCAACCCTCATGAGTAGTGGCTCGATCACTCAGATCATCCGACCCGGCTAAATCCTTAAAGTTCCACGGTATGTTTATGCCCAGTCTCGATTGCCCAGAAGCTCCATACCCTGCTAACCCTGCACCCGCACTCCCTGACCCTGGCAACCTTCCGCCACCGAAGCAAGCTCCACAAATATGGGAGTTTCCGAAAATTAGGGAACCTTATTAGGGGGTCCTTATAATAAGGATCCTACTATTTAGGGTACTATATTAGGGTCCCCTATTTTCGGAAACCCCCATATAGAGAGTATAGAGCCCTCATGGCAGCAGCTGGAAAACCACCACAGCTTTCTGTAAACCCTAAACCCTGAACCCTAAACCCTAAACCCTTCTGTCATCTCTACAAACTTGCACCATGGTGAGGCTCATGGGCCCCTGTTTTTGTGAGTTTGCTTTAGGGTTTAGGGTTTAGGGTTTAGGGTCGGGCTCTCCTTAGTAGTCGGGTAGGTAAACTCTAACTCGAACCTTCTTGGGGTACTATAATATCCCTGCAAGCCTAAAAGTTAACTTTCCCTTAGGATGCTGGACAAGTAAGTATCTATAATTTGAAGTCTTGCGACTGCGATTGCACCTAGGGGCTACAGACCCTCACATGGATTCCCATGGTTCTGTTTATCTCATTCGCTGGTTACGCGTACATAACCGGTCATCCCAAAACAGATACTGCAACTCGGGGTCCAGCTAGATTGAATTGTTTTAAAAATGCACCTAGGGTTGTAAAAGTTTGAATACATTTGTTGTTGCCTGTTCCTTAATTGTGAAATAAACGTCTCTACGTTCTCCTCTCCGGTTACTTCAATCTCCAGCTTAGGGTTTTGGGTTTAGGGCTGACCTCAAGTCAACCCTATGCACTTGCAAGAGTGTTATTTGCTTCTTCGGGGGATGCGAAATATCGGAATGTGCCTAATGCTGCAGACTATAACAATGGACCCTCCGATGGATGTTTCAAAAGTGGCCTCATCGTAGTAATATTTTTTGTGCGGATGACTGGTTTATGATGTTTCAAAGCTAACATAGCCCCAAGAAGCGTGCCAAAGAAGTCCTCGGCAGTCAGCTTCTTGAGCCGCATGTTAGGCAGCATAGGCCACCGAGGTCTTGCTACAGTGTACCATAAAGAGTTGCAACATGGGATTGAACTGTCGTACCTGGCAGCATGGCAGGCAGCGTCAGTGCTGGTCCAATCCATCCAGGAAATGGTGCAGAGCATTGAGACTGACGGCACCTTTGGAAAAATGGAGTCCGTGCACTGGAAAAAAAGCTGGGAAAACTTCGATTCCTCGCAGCCCTTTGTGCTCCCGGGCAAAGATTTCAAGGAGACGGCAAAGGCCTGCCAAGCCGGCATGTCAAAACGCGCGAACTGCAGCGTCATTCCTTCGAGACCTGGTGAACAGTTCGGCTGGCTGCGTCGCGGACCGTGCGGACGGTGGGGAGGTCTTTGGTTTGCTTGATGAAGCAAGGCGTGTGTTGGAGGCCCATGATAAGTTCTGGGCCTCGAGCCCTGAAAAAATAGGTGCCAACCACATTCCATACGACACCTTTACAAGCCCCTCGCATCGACCCTTTGTTACCATTCGCCAGACTTTGTACAACCCTTGAGCAAAAGACGCGCCGACCGCACAGGACGGCTCTGCCGACATCGTGAAGCACACCTGGTGACCTGGAAATTGTTTCAGATTTTGGGGAGTTTCCGGTAATACAGGGTCTGAGTGATCAGCAAGAACATGCCTGCACAGTCCGTATATGTAAATAAGCAGTTGTTTCAGGCTCTTCAAGTTGCCACAAACATACGATGGTTAAGCAGAAAGGCCGTACATTAGATTTGCAAGCTGGATGGTTAGCTGAAGGATTCGGAGGCTTAGCAAGTAGGTAGTAAGTTACAAGGCCAGGTTAAGGGTTTAGGGTTTACGCATGCTAAGGGAAGAAAGCCCGTCAGGGGCCATCAGGTCGCAAAGGGTGTTTCAAGGTCTGTTAGGAGTTCCCGGTCATCAGACTCACGGAAGCCAAGTATTATGCGGACTTGGCCAGCGGAGTGGTCTGCTTCTCTAGACACACCGATGTTTCTTTCACTGACTTTGCGGAGACTAGCTACGAGGCAGGCACCATGATCTCATCAGATGCTGTCTTTCATGTGCTCATGAAATTACACAACACACATCATGCTATTCCTGTCCTGGACATTAAAGCATCTGAGAATCAGGCAGACGCATATGAGGTTGAGGAAGAGGGGGCTCCAGCCGAGGGGGTCTAGTGACCTTCAACGGATCCTGACGCTCTGGTTAATGTAGGGGCCTAAATAAGTACCTACATGTTTTTAAGGGGGGTGTCCTTATTATAATTGTAGTATAAGGGGCCCCAAAACCCTATTCTAATTGCTAAGGCCCCTACAATAGCCAGTTTTCCCCTCTGCTTGGATCTTGCTTGATCATCAGAGATCACAGCTAGAGCTCACCTGCTGCAGTTGCTCAGCTGACGGCGAACTGAGCGCTCATCTTACATGTCCTTTCAGTTCAAAGAACATACTACCGGAGGCCCTTTTCGTTTTGTTAAACTGCTGGCTAAACCCTAAAAACCCTAAACCCTAGACCCTAAATCCGAGACCGCATCGATACATCCGGAGGTTTCGGGTGAGAGCACTGGGCTCACCCTTAGCCCAAAGCTTACGCATTTAATTCAGGGGGTTGAGGAATTCAACCATGGTTTGCGTGGGGGCATAGGGTTCCCCAGTACGCTGCACGATCATGTCGGAGTTTTCGAAAATAAGGGGTACCTTATTTTGGGGGTCCTTATGTTAAGGATCCTACTATTTAGGGTACTATATTAGGAACCCCTATTTTCGGAAACCCCCATAGGCATCAAGCTCTAGTGTATTTTGGATATGGCCCCTACAGTAGGGAGGGGAGGAAGGCCTGCTCAAAGCCGGAAACAAGCACTTTGTCTAATATAGGGTCCATGATACTGAGACCGGGGTTTTGGGGTATGCAAAAACATAGCTCTGTAGGGACTACAAGAGGTTGTTGTTAGTAACTTTTTATTCCGAAATGTAACAATAGTTACCAACACTATTCCTGCAGGTTCATTCTTCTCTGTACACTAAGTAAACTATATGATGTACCCCAAAGAAGCCTATTCCATGTATGAAGACCCCTATATCAGACGGTTGTACTGTCATGCCTGTGGGATACCCAACTTCATGGCTTGGTATTTGCCACCACTTTTTTCGGCGCCGATTCTCGCGCATGGGTCTAGATGCCGCCCACGCCTAAGCTCTACACCCTAAACCCTAAACCCTAAACGGCAAACCCTAAACCCACTGACAGATGGTTTTGGTTTACAGCGGTGAGGGGCCCGTAGTGTAAGCCTCGACTGAGGCAGGCTCAGGCTCGTTCGCCTTGACGAAAAGAGTCACTACACTTTAAAAAACAACCCTAAACCCGAAACCGTAAACCCTAAGCCTAAACCCTAAACCCTGGTCCTAACCCTTAAACCCTAACCCTTACACCCGAAGCCCCGCAGCCCAAGCCCTCTTTGTTGCCCTGCTCAGAGAGCAAGGCTTGAGCTCAAATTTGGGCCCAATATCCCGAGCCGGGCCTTGATGATCAGGGTTTAGGGTTTAGGGGTTAGGGTTTAGGGTTTACCCATGGGCTCCATTGCAGTTCCTTTTGGGGGGTTACCTTATAGGATCCTAAGTATAAGCAACAAAAAGCAATTACAATGGAGCCTAGGGGCAGGGTTGAGGATTTATGGCTTGGGGTTCAGAATAGAGTTCCGAAGAGGGTTCTGCACATAGAAAGGCTTCTAGACCGGATCGACAGTGTTTGAACAGGGCTTCGGGGCTATACTGTAAATTGTGTATTTAGTTAGGACCTAAAAACAGATAATATATGTCTACTTCTTTACACCTCCTACACTAATAGTCTCAACTTCAAGGCCTACGCCTTAGCAGTACAGAATCCCTAAACCTTAAACCCTAAACCCTAAACCGTACAGAATCCCTAAACCCTAAACCCTAAACCGTACAGAAGCCCAGGTTTAGTACATACGAGCTTCCAAAGTTGGAGACGTACGAGGCGCGGGCGCCCTGCTTGCGCAGGGCAGCTTGGAGTTTACAGTAGTGGGGCTTAGGGCTTATAATATAGGGTTTAGGGTATAGGGTTTAGGGTTTAGGGCTTATAGGGTTTAGTTTAGGGTGTAGGGCTTAGGGTTTATAGGGTTTAGGGTTTGGCCCAAAAGTTGGAAGCCCAATAGACTCAATCCTTAAGAGTAAGGCATAAGGAATTAAGGCACTAAGTGTCCTTAACCCGGTTTAGGGTTCAGGGTTTAGGGTTTAGGGCTTTTGGGGTTTCCTTCAGGGGGTTTAGGCTTCAATATAAGTACATGGGCAGGTCTTTTTAGGTCCCCAAACTAGTAAGGCACCCTTACAAACAGGACTTAAGGTAAAAGGGGCCCTAGTTTAGAGAACAGCCCACATATTAGGAGACCAAAGGTTTAGGGTTTAGGGTTTAGGGTTTAGGGTTTAGGGAGTTTAACTGCCACAAAGCATACTGGTGGGGGCCTTAATGATTAGACTAGGGTGTTGGGGCCCATTATACTATAATTAGACTTAAGGAACCCCGAAAATAGTATTGGTAGTTATTTAGGCCCCTACATTGCTTCTGGGGTTTGGTTGGTGTGTTAGGTGTTGGGGTTGGGGGTCTGGGGGCCCAGCCCAACCCCAAACTATGGTCTGGGGCTTAGGGTTCAGCGCTTTAGGGGTTTAGGGTCCAGGGCTTAGGGGTTCAGGGGTCTAGGGTTTAGGGCTTTAGGGCTTTACGGTTTAGGGGTTTAGGGATTAGGGATTTAGGGCTTAGGGGTTATAGGGTTAAGGGGTTTAGGGTTGAGGATGAGGGTTTCGAGTTGTTGGGCTCAGGGGCGAGGGCTTCGGGCACTTAGCCAGCTGTTCGTTAGGGTTCCTCACGGTGTTGGTAAATATCTAGTATACCCCAACCCCATATTATTATTATTATTATTATTATTATTAATTATTATTATTAATTATTATTAATTCTTATTGATTATTATTATTATTCTTATTCTTATTGTTATTATGATTACTATTATGATTATGAAGGCACCTTTGGACTCCTTATGCTACAAGTAGATGATCTACTCGAAAACCCCACTAGACGTAGAACTCTGAAGGCACCTGTGGCAGGGTCGGAGAAGTCGGGTTCAGGGCTGAGGATTTGGAGGCAAAGCTGGGGATATGGGGTTTAGGGCTTAGGGCTTAGGGCTTAGGGTTTACGGCCCAGTGGTGGTACACTGGAAATGGCTGCTGAGGGAGTCCGTCCCGGCGAAGCGATGGCCGCGGTAGCGTTGCTACTAAGCGCACGATGCAAGCTGCCCATGACTCACGCAAGCGAGTGCGGACAGTCGGTGCCTCCGGGGGTCCTACGACATTGGTCGCACGTAAGACAGAGCCAGCCCTCGCTGTGGCCCTGCTCTCCGGAGGAAGGGAGGCTGAGCTGCCATACCATCGACGACCCTACACCGCCCTCGGAGTCAGAGACCCTGATAGCCTCCGTGACTAGCGCTGGTGTGGCGAGCCAGACTTCGAGCGCATTCGATGTGGTGCTGAATAACTACCTGGTAGCCGTCACGTATGTGGACGCGGCTACATCCGCTGGACTGAGTGCTACGATGAGGGTTTTAGGGCTTAGGGCCTAGGGTGTAGGGGTTAGGAGGTTATGGGTTAATCGCCAGCTATCTGGGTTGGTCTAGGATTTTCGGTTAGGGTTCAGGTGCAGGAGCAAACTACCTCATACTCCCCAAGAGCTGAAAGCCGTGCAAAAGACTTACATGAGAAGGTTCTTTTGGCACCTAAGCCCTCAGGCCTCAACCCTAATCTCTAAACCCTTAAACTTAAACTCCTAAACCCTCAATCCCAAACCCTAAACCCGCAAACCCTAAACCCCGAAACCCCGAAACCCAGCCTGAAGTTGTGGGTTCACCGAGCCTTGGAATCCATATTTTGAGCCCAAATACCCAATACCATATTGGGGTTCCTCTTAATTCTGCTAAAGGTTCCTTTCCATGGGTTTGCCATAAAGGCTCCATCATATAATGACCTCCGTAATGCTTTGTAATGAACAATAATGATACGTCTAACAAGATAGCCCTCAACCCCATTCTTAAAATTAAGGCGGCGCCTATGTCACAATCCTGCTCCCCGCGGCTGAAATCCCCAAAAGTCCAGTGGCTTGAGGCTGCAAGTAGCTAAACAAGCCAGAAAGTTGAAACATCATCAGCCTCATGCCCCGAGGGTAAAGTATAGGGGATCCCAGCACTTTAGGGCTGCGGGTTTAGGAGTTTAGGATTTAGGGTTAGTACACAATACCCCATACATGGTGCCATTGGTCGGTTGCCTTTTGTGTCGACATATATACATATACACACACACACACACATATATATATATATATGAGCCCGATACCTTTTGGGTCTATTTAGCTAGTCTTTTATATATGCAATATAAAGCCCCTAGCTAAATATTATATATATATATATAAGTTATACTTTGCACAAACATAATTCCGAAAAGTTTGAGACATGCTGTGAGATATAGTTTAATATTGAATTTCCTTTCATTTCGGAGGACTGACTTATCAGCCGGCATCCATACTGGTGGTATCAAATCTCTCATACATATATATATATATATATACATTCTATGTATATGCATATATATATATATATACAGATACACATGTGTATATATATATATATATATGCATACATACATACTTACTTACTTACTTGCTTACTTACTTAGTTACTTACTTACTTACTTACTTACTTACTTACTTACTTACTTACTTACTTACGTACTCACATACGTACTCACATACGTACTTACTTACTTACTTACTTACTTACTTACTTACTTATACACACTTATAGGTTTTATACCCTACGAAGTGTGATTAGATAGATGGATAGATAGATAGGTAGGTAGGTAGATAGGTAGATAGAGAGACAGTGGACAAATCGACAGATAGACAGATAGATCCATAGACAGGTAGACGGATGGACCGACTGATATACATATAAAAAGCCACGGCAAGGTGAAGTGCTCAGGTTTTTGGGCTTAGGTTTCAGGGTTTAGGGTTTAGGGTTTAGGGTTTAGGGTTTAGGGGTTTAGGGTTTAGGGTTTATCTTGCAGGGGGTGGTCTGAATGGCGAGCTTTACTTTATCTTCTGCCACGAACCCTTTCCTGAGGTCCCTGTAGTATTCAGATTCCATTGGGTTTAGGGTTTAGGGTTTAGGTGGTCCATGTCTGAAACCTTAAGCACTTCTTCTCCCTGACATGAATCTCCAGTCGTGTTTTCCCGGGGTTTCAGAAGCAAGCCCTACACGAATTCATCGCGCCAGTACCCTGCGCCCTACAAGCCGACGATGAAGGCGGGCTCGGACATGTCAGGTATAGCTATCTTGTGTCATATCATATCACATTGTACATAGCTTCAGTTCAGGGCTCGCGTCATGCTTGCATAGTTTTATTTCATATTTGTACTATATTCTTATTCTATATCACATAGGTTGAGGGTTCACTCCCAAGACAAGCCCTTGGGCTCTTTTAGCAATTTCAACTTGTAAGCCTTAAAGCCGTGCAAGCTCTAGCCCGGTGACGTCTCAGAACTTCTAGCTTTGATGGCCGCGCATTTCGGGTTCAGGGACCCGGGGGGGGGCTTAGACGTAAGCTTTCAGGAGTTTGGGCTTTGGGAGGGTCTTAAGAGCGTCAGACTTACATGGAGAGCCTCTTCTGGTTATGGTCTAAGGTTGAAACCATGGTCCCCCAGTATGGGCCCTTAACCCTGAAACCCTTCTATACCCAAGATATACGTACCCTATACGTACGTTTAAGGATCCCTAAAACCCCCCTAAGGGCTCAAAGTAGGGGCCCAAACTTCTAGCCTTGGATGTGGGGGGTTCAGAAGGGGATGGGGCCCAGCATAAACCGAGAGCCCGGTGCGCATCAGGGATTTTGGCGAACTCCAACTCTAAACTTCTAATCTAAGGGGCCTTAAGAATAAGAACAGGGTTTTGGGGGGGTTCCCTTTTGAGAGTAGAATACACCCCCAAACCCTATTCTAATCATTCAGGCCCCGGGGGCGTGGCTCAAGGAGCACGGGTTTTTGGACGTTGAGGCTGAGTTGCCGGGAGGGGATGCTTTTGTGGCCCTGCCGCTCTAAATCGGGCTAGCCTCCTACCCGAGGTACTCGAAGCTCTGGCGAAAGAGCTATAAGAGCAGAGTCCACATTAACGTCGCAGAACTCCAGGCTTTTCTCCGCAAGGAGGCTCGCGCCGGGCAACGAAAGCCAAACTCCAGGTTCATCTTCGCGCTGGATTCCCAAGTGTGCATCGGCGCTGTCGCCAAAGGCCGCTCCGCATCTTTGAAGCTCAACGACCTGCTGTGCCTATCCATCGCCTGCGTCGTTGGCTCACAAAGCCAGAGCGTGCCTGTGTTCTTTCCTAGTGCATACAACCCAGCGGACGACCCGACCCGGGACCGCGATGTGCCGCCTCCAGTCAAAGACCCGCCCCGCTGGTGGCACGAGTTGTGCGCGGGAAACCCGGGGCCTTTGGAAAGAGTGACTGAGGAATCTGGCTTTGGCCGTGATGGCGAATTCTTCGACCAGCGGCTCAGTGGCTGCAGGATGTTTCAGGATAAATGGTTCTAGCAGAACAGGGCTTCAGGGAGGGTTTAGGGCTTGGGGGCCTTAAGCCCTAGAATAGGGCTTTGGGGTTAAGTAATGTAGGGGCCTTAATAAATAGAATGGGGTTTTGTTGGGGCCCACTGTGCTGTAATTATAGTAAGGAACCCCCCAAAAATAGGGTTGGTAATTTTGAGGGCCCTACATTATGGCGTGTTTGGAGGTTGTTACCTCTCAGGTTTGGGCTTTGTGTTCCCGGAACCTTCTAAGCCTAAACCCTTAACCCTCAACCCCAGACCCTAGACCCCAAACCCTAAACCCTAAGCCTTAAACCCTAAACCCGAGGCCCTAAACCCTAAACCCTAGACCCTAAACCCTAAACCCTAAGCCAACAACCTAAAGCCGACAAAGCCCGAGCCCGGAGCCCTGCTTGGGGCTTGAGAGTTTACTTCTCCGCTGCTCGGTTATTTAGGGTTTAGGGTATAGGGGTCTAGGGGTTTAGGTTTTAGGGTTTAGGGGTTTAGGGTTTAGGGTTTACGGCTTTAGGGTTTGGGGTTTGTTAAGGAACTTAGTCGAACTTACCATAATCAGGAAACCCCATTATTTGCTATAGACTACAGGTTCTATAGATCCCTTGTATGGTAACGTAGACTAAGTTCCTTAGCCCTAAACCCTTAAAGAAACCCTGAACTATGGTAACTTGAACTAGGTTAACCCTGAACCCAAAACCCCCAAACCCCTCAACCCTGAACCCTAAACCCTGCATTACCGAACCCTTAAAGGAACCCCGAGAGCATGGTTATTCTTTCCCACCAGGGGTGAGGGTTTAGGGTTTAGGGTTTAGGCCCTAAGCCCTAAACCCTAAACCCCTAGGTTTCCCTAAACCCTTTAGGGAAGCTTTGGGGTTTCCGGCAGGATGACCAAGACACCTCCAACTTCGAGGCAGATGGTCGGTTGTACAACCCTAAAAGGCTCAAAGGACTCATATTCTAAGGCTTCCGGGCCCAAAGACCATACTAGGCTCTCTTGGGCGATTTTGAGCCTTAGGGTAAAGGTTCTATAAGGTTTTTACGAGGGTTGTTTCCAGGATTTAGAAGGGTTGCAAACGGGTTCTACAAGTGTCCTGTAAGGGTTTTATCCTAAGGGAACGGGTTGAATAAGTTTTCGATAAGGATTGTCAGAGGTTTTGAGGGGTGAGAGTTCAGAGTTTAGGTCAAGTGTGTGGAGGGTTCTGTATTTCTGCCTTAGGATTTAGCTGCCCGGATGCCTTTGTACCTCAAAGAAGCTGCGCTTGTGCACTTTGAGTGTCCTGGTTCTGTGCTAGTGGCAGGAACTTTTGAATGTAGGCTGTACAAATGAGGGCATGAACCCTAAATCCTAAACCTTGGTCAACTTGGTGTGCGGAAGTCTCTCACTCCGAGACCAAACTGTTAAGGCACTTCTGGGATTAGGTTTTAGGGGTTGAGGGTGTAGGAGTGTGTAGTGGTTTAGTAGTGTAGGTGGATGTATGCTTTGGGGCTGATTATTGATTCCAGGACGCATTAACCCTCAAAGCCTCATGAGCTAGGGCGAGTATTGCAATTCCTTGAGCCTTCGAAGCCCTAAACCTGTAAAACCTCAAACCCGCCTTAGACGTAAGCCCTAAACCGTAGACGCTGAACCCCAAACAGCCTAGTCCTGACTCCTACGACCCCAAAGCCGCCCCACTCCCTAAGCTCTATGCCCTACACCCCAACACAATACCATAAACCCTAAAAGCGGATGACCCTGTAACCTAGGACTGGGACTGCAGCTCCAAAGAACCCACAAAAAGTCTCTTTATAGTAAGCCCTACAGCGCACTCACATCCATGGAAGGCGGTCCACACCCCTCCGATAGTGAGTAGTGGGGCTGAGCCCTTGCCAATCTGCTTGAACTTGGATGCGTATGTTTAAAGTAGAACCCATGGGCCCCTAGTATG